GACGTATAATACAAATTGTAAAAATTCCCGTTTACTTTCTGAAGAAGTTCATAAATTGGTGAATTGTGGAAGCTGTAATACTTGAAATATTTGTTTCGGATAAAAATAATGAATAGTTACATCGGCTACAATATAATATGTTAATATATAAATAATAGTTACATCGGCTACAATATAAGTTTCAATATCTTATGTCAATTATAAGAGTAAAAGTTTAAGATAACTTGATCATAATTTGTGATGCTAATTGTATAAGTTTATCAACTTGTTCCGTTAGACTAAAACAATATTTACTGTACATTGCCTGAAGCATAAAGTCTTCGGACAGACATAAAAAATATTTGAAGGCTGTAGAAATTATTTGTACTAAAAAAGCTAAGGGAATAAATAAGCACACGAATCGGTTTCTGATTAATTTCACGTAAACAATTATAATATGTATTCTTTTTCCAAATTTACTTGCAATTGTTCGCCAAAAAACAGTATAAAGCCTGCCCGGCAAGTTATACAGGTTCAAGAATTTTGCAAAATATTGACATGTTTTGCTCTGTAATAAAATATTGACCTTATTTAAGTATTTCAACAATTGTAAACAATTGTAATATAGATTCAGGATGATCTTTAAAAAATTGACTATTTTTTGTTGATCTCATTACTTTGTAAATCTTTAATTTCGTTTGGCGAAATTTTTTATTTACTTAGATATTTTTCAAAGATATGTTATTATTCCATTATTTTTTGTAAATAATAAATCTTTCATGTAGCAACAAATTGGACTATTTTTTGATGATCTCATTATTTTTAAAATCTTTCATTTTGTTTAATACTTTTGTATAAGTAACATAAGAAATATTATACACGTTTAACAAGCCAGACGGCACACGTGATTCGAAAGGTATTCGTAAAGTATTCGAAAAAATTTGGACGAATTCGTGAAGATGTTCAAAAAAAGATCCTAAATAATTCGTTGTACATTCAAAACATATTCATGCTAAGTCATCTCAAATGAATAGTTTACGAATTCTTGTCGAACGTACAAATTGATAATACGTATTCAAATGTACATACTTTTTGAGCTCATACATAATTCTTAATGTAATACAAAGAGGTAGCTATTTACACTTTAAATGTTTTCGTAAAGAAATCGTATGTAATACCTTAAAAATAAATGAAAACGCCGAAGAAATAAGGTTAACACTCAAAGTAAATATTTAAATCTATTTTTATTTTACAGCTAGAAAATGTATCATGATTTATAATATTTAATTATAAATGCAGATACAATCACGAAAAACATGGAAAAAATAAATTTTTGAAGACAAATTATATTAACAGTATATTTGAGAGGAACATTTATTTATAATCTAAGAATAGAAAAATGTGAATGAACCAAGTACACTGTACATCAAGAGTTAAAATTATTTTTCTACGTAAAAGAACATTAACAAAGAAATTAGAAGTAATTAAAAAGAGGTTGATCAAATTACGTAATGTATTTTTACTGATCACTTGACACAAAAATAAACGATCTTATACTAGTTGTTGAGAATCTTCAAATAGCTTTACATCAACAAAACAATGTTTATGTTGAGGATATTGTTACGTTAACATCTTTTTCTGAAAAGCACCGACATTGATTACCACTGGAGTCACTGAATGAATTTGAAGCTTTTAACAATATACTTAAGGAAGATAACGCTCTTAAAGCTAATCTGATTAATACTCGTTAAATGTATTCTCAAGATCTGATATTTGTTTTATGTGTTTGCTGAACATCATCTAAGTGTTTCACCTTTAGAAACAATTCCAAATATAAATATGATTCAAGATTTCGTTTTGGATTTTATGCACCTTGGATGCCTTGGAGTCATGAAGTAACTGCTGAATTATTGGATCCCTGGAAAAACGTTANAAAAAAAAAAAATTTAATAAAGCTTTGGCAGTATACATTTATGGTCTTTGAAATTTTGTCTTACGTTAGTAGTAGTAATAGTAATAGTAGTAGTTTTTCACTATCTTATCAAACAATCTCGTTTTATAATTAAATAAACTTTAAAAAAGTAGTAAATCTTAATAGTATTATTGACTCATCAAATTTTTAATACCACTAATTTAAAAAATTTATCGTGAAATTCACTATTCTCTCACTATCAATTGTAATATTATACTTATCACAGTAATATATTTATCTAACAAGCTAACGAACAATAATTTGCCTGCATTTTTTCACAAGAAAAAAAAGTACAGACTTACAATATGTATTTTTGGCTTTCGATATTCTGTCTTACATTATTAGTGGCATAGATGATAGAGTGCTATTATTTTATAAATCAAATTTCATTTTTTAATTAAATCAACATTATAATACTAATATATCTTAATAGTATCACAAACTACTCATCAAATTCTTAATATTATTTTTTTAAACAATTTAGCAAGAATAACCATTTTCTTGTTACACTGGTTACATCTAATCAAAAGTAATCTCATTCTTTTGTTAGATTTTTATAGTTGTCATACTATCGAAAGTTTAATTGCTTCGGTTCATTTTTAATTTTTTTTCGTCGCCAGTTCTTTGAATCCACGACATTATGTACTTCTTAACATTAGCGATCGTGTAAATTGGTCTTGCTGCTGATATGGCACCTGAAACACATGTAATTACAGTTATTATTGTTAAAAATTCTTAGTTATCAGAAAACAATATTTGTTTATAAAGAATATGCATAGATTTTATAAATTATATATATCCGTCAATTCAATGCATACTGTGGTAGAGCTGAAACACTGCTTGTTTTCATTCCGGCTTCTTGTCCATGGAAAGTTCTCACACATTAAATGGGTATCAAACATTTTTCTACAAGTGCTGTGGATGTGTGCTCCTTCATTGTTATCACCTATATTTTTATGAAAGCAACCTGCAGAATCTAATGGGTCTAAAAATTAACAATAGTTACTCATTATTCATTATGTATATAGAGGATCACTGACTATATTGTACTAACAAATTGGCGTTTTTCTTCTTCGTTTGATTGCAATATATTATTCAGCTCGTTGAATTGATTTTGATTTATTAGAAAATCAGGCAAAATATCGAGTTGTTTTTCTTGCTGTATTCTCTGCACACTGATTTGGTCTAGCTTAAATATTATTTTATTCATCTTCCGTAATAATTGCTTGTGATACGTATCTATTTATTTTGCTTCCGTTAGGAATCCTAAAAATTGCATTACAGTATCAATAGAATAATCGATTGTACACAATTTAAAGACTACAGTTGATAAGCGTACTGTCATTTTTTGAGCATATAAAATTAAAACACTACAAATCAGTTGTGTGCTATATATTGGAAAAAAAATTATGATGGAGAGACATATTGTTGTACGGGTTTACATGTTGTACTGCTATAATAACGATAAAATATTACATTTTTAGTTTTGGTATTGAGACAACAAATTAGAAACATTTGATAGGAAAATAAAATCATGCAGC